AGGAGGAACAGAAAGAACAGGAACAGAAGATGAAAGAGGAATTTCATCTAAAACCGGACCTAATTCACCACTTTCGAAGCCCTTAATAAAGGGGCGATGAGTGGATTCAGGGGAGTCCCTTGGAATGGTTTCTTCATCGGAGGTAATAGTAACGAGTTCAGAGATACGAGCGGGAGAGATTTCAGTTTCATCCTCAGAAACAATGCGCCTCCTGGTTCTAGGACGAGCTGTCAAAGAGGTATCTTCATCTTCATCAACGTCAGAATCCTCTTCAACCACTTTTCTCTTTGACAGCGTGGCTTGTGTTCTTTCCAAATCAAGAGGAGTACTGGAAGAAGCTCGAAGGGTGATAGCTACTTCAGCCGACATCCCTCGAATAGCAAATCCTGACAATAAGAAGGATAAAAAGTTAAAAGAGGGGAAAAGAATTTAACACACGAGAAGCAAAAAGGGATGTATACCGTGAGTTTTCACTTTCCAACCATGTTTGTTGGAAATAGATTTCCAAGTTCGTGCCTCCATAGGCACGACTTTCAAGACAGCATCTACCCAACCACGAAAATTAGGAACGGGTTCCACATCTCCCATGGTTGCTACAAAAAAGCAAAGAAATAATAATAAAATTAGAAAAGAAGTTGATAACGAAAGCAGATATGGCAAGGAAGAAAATACTTACGTGCAAAGTTCCATTTCTCAGGAAAAGGAATATTTGATTCACCCACCAAATCAGTTGTGGGAACAGCAACAAACCGGGTGTACCAGCCACGGTCGTTATTATCTTCAGGGTTAACCAAAACCCTCTTACTTCTTGCAGATAAGGTAAAAACACCATTGCGGAATAGCTTGGGGTGATAAAGATGAATTAGATGAGGGAAAGTAAAGTCAACATCAGCTTTGGTTGACATATACCTCAAACAAGCTACTGCTCTCCATACGAGGGGACCAACTTGAGCCAAACAAATTTTGAAAAAACGACAGAAATCAAGTATGACTGGGTCAATAGCAGGAATAAATCCCAAAGTAAAGGGATAAGTGTAAACGAAAGAAAAGCCAACCCTATAAGAAGATATTCTTTGGTGTGGGGTAGGAATAACTATGTGGGTGTCATCTCTCCAACGACAGTCTCTTCGAACAATTTGAATCAAAGGTTCAGTAATTAAAGAGGGATATTTATCAGCTCTCTCTAATTTAATCACTTGGTCACGAAGGGATTCTTTGTCATGTTCGAAAGATAAATCCGTTGGCACAATTTCTTCAACCAGAGGCTCTTGGTTAGACTCAGAAGGTTCTTTGCCCTTAGAAGTGGATCTGTTAGAAAGAGAGCCTCTAGAGATATTGCCAGAACTAGAAGAAGGAGTGATGGAACCAGAGGTACCACCACGAACCGACCCTGTACCACGAAGCACACCTCCTCTATGTCTAGAAGGAGCATTGGGGAAGCTATCAAGAATTGGGACTCTTTTAGGGTTAGGATTCGAAGACGACATAGTGAGAAGATATGAACAGAAGGTATGAACTGAAGAAGAAGTGAACGAGAGTAAATAGCAAGAAATTTGGTAAAAAGCTTGTGAAGAAGAAGACAAAGGAAAAAGGGGGCAAATTTATATATAAACTCAACCGTCGATAATTAAGAAGTGTAATGATGGAAAGCCTATAATAAAGGCAACTATCACTTAGTGAATAGTGGAGTTAAAGAAGCCTTAGAAAAAGGCTGCAAAATCGCAGAACTAATGAGAAAGTGACACGTATATGGTGCATTAAATAGAAGAGACAATTGAAGCGTCGACACTGTCATAGCATTGATAATGGCAAAAATTTCCTTTTTAATGAAGATCCACTTCCCAAATATTTAATTGATAAATAAATGGAAAGTGGGGGGACTATCTGTATTGGGAAAAAACTGAATTTATAATTGAAGGTGACGTGTCATGACGCATGGACTGGTCAAATGGTCAAAACATGATGATCAGTTAAGAGGCACGGGCAATATCAGATACGAGGAGAAGAAAGTTAAATAGGCACGAGATGCTATTCAAATGATACGAGTCTCGTATCTATTTAACTTAATTAAAGCCAGGAGGTCAGAAGGAATTGAAGATATGAATCTGATGGCATAAAAGAGTCTAAATTCAGTATTAAATGTCAAATACGTTAGCGAATCAATATTGAATAGGAATGATTGTGTAACGTTTCATTTAATGTCATTTAATGCTCATAATTGCCTCTTTAAGGCTAAGGCATTATACCTTTTCCTAGAAAAATCAACTATAAAAGGAGGAGGTCTCAGCATTTGTAAGGACACGAAATATCATTGAGATTACATTGAAATACAAACTTATTTACTGCTTTATTATCCTCAAAAATTTCTTATTCTTTTCGTCTCCTGATTATCAGTAACCCGATTTTTCCTCTTAATTTCTAGTTTTAACCGAAATTCTATTTTTTGGTTAAATACTAGGGTCGACAAGTTGTTATTGATTGGTCGAAAATAGTAATTAACCCTTATTTATCGGCAAAATTTACAATCGGACTATTACAAATTGACAACTAATAGAAGGGTTCTCCTAACTTGCAACTTTATACTCGTCCATAAGCCTAACACAAGTATTTTTATTGAAGTCCCTCGTAAAAACATGTTCTACCCAACAACAAATAGTAATGGGCCATAACTTTTAATAAGAGAATTTAGAGAATAACAAACTAAATACACAAATAAGTCAAAAAGATTAAACATCTATACAGACATAATCTTTTTTATTTAATATACATTCGGTGAATAATCATTTCGCCTCTGACTCAGCCCCAAACAACAAGGATATATTTATTTAAGATTTAATTGTAAATTTGCAACATTACCGTTTTAGTTCGTTAGAAAACTATACTAATACACGATCATCTTTTTTTGGGGTTTTTTTTAAGCTAGTTTTTAAACAAGTATAACTTTTCTCACTATTATTTTGTCAAGCCAATTTTTTGACAGGTCTACAATTTAGGGATGGATGTAGACAAACACATTATTACAAAAATAGTAATAGTTGCAGTAGTACCTTACGGGGTCGTTTGGTAGGAGGTATTAGAAAAAATAATGCAAGCATTATCTTTATGCATTACTAATACCTTGTTTGGTATATTTTGTTAACTTGTATATAACTAATACTTGTATTAGTTATACATCATACTTGGTATTATCCTTTGTATAAGTAATACATAGAAAACCATGGCATTAGCAATACCAAGGCCATTAATGCATGCGTTAGTATGGTTAAAGACAAAATTATCCTTAAAGTCCCTTAAAGCTAGAGAATATGGAGGGCATTTTTGTAACCAACTATTTTTCTTAAAAATTATGCAATGCATTATAATTTAATACACCACACTAAACAATAGATAAGAAATAATATATGCATAACTAATGCTTGCATTACTAACCCATGCATTACTAATTCATGCATTACTAATACACCTTATTCCGTATTATTCTTATACACTCTACCAAACGATCCGTACATGTGCTGGTTTAAAATCTCAAATCTGCACCTCGTATTAAATTAAAACCTCTGTTTTGACACGTTAATCACTAAAAAACTTCGTCGTCAAGAATTTTCAGTTTTTCACCCTATTGCAAAACGTACTTATAGTGTAATACGAGATGCACATCGAACAAGGAACATTCTGCTTGGGAAGTTTCTAAATCTTAGATAATAACTTATTCTATTTGTCTTGAGTAACACAATAAAATATCCAAATGACTTAAGGTACCTTAAAATCAACAAGAATCTTAATAATCTTTTAATATAAAAGCACCTAAATTATTGCTTCTTTTGTTATAACCAAAAAAGAAAAGAATAAATAATTGTAACCAAAAATTTAATAATGTCAAGGGACATGGTAGAGATTTGTTGATTAAGAAGGGGACACAATAGACATCCCCCGAAAATACAGGGAGTCTTTTATACATTCCCCCGTCATTTTTGTACTATTCCCCTTACCCCACCACCCCTCAGAGTGATCACTATCTCTATGATTATTATATACATACAGTATCTTGAATTATCAAACAAATGTATACGTACAAATCATACTGTATCTAGAGGATATACATACATATGGACATATCTAATTATAGACTTCTACTGTTCGTCCGTTCCCCCACCCAACCCCCTCTCCCTGGTTATTTCCCCTCTACCCAGCAGTTGCAGCGCTGCTGCAATTTGCAGGTTCATCTATACGTACAACTTTTTCTGTATCTATATATATTTATGTAGCCTTGTTTATTTGTATCTAGGAGATATACACTTCGATATACTGTAATAAGCTGTGTAAGGACACTCACATAAAGTGTGATTTGATATGTAGAGAAAAGCATTTCACTTTTTAGAGAGAGAAAGTAAAGAGATAGAAAGAGAAAGACAGAGTCATCTTCTTTATGCAATGCGGTGAGTGCGCAGTTGAACTAGCAAAAGGTACTCTCTCTGTGTTAATTACTCTGTTTATATATTCATTTATTTACACGCACATTAAAATGCCACACGCACACACACATACACACACACACACATGTTTATGTGATATATATGTTTGGGAGCTGTGTGGAATTTCACGAATTTCTGTGTGTTTAATCTTAGGGTTAGAAGATGATGTGCGGACTTATTGATCTAAATACTGTGGATAACGATGACGTCGGAGAAGAAACGACGGCGCCGGTGTCACCAGCGTCATCGTCGACGGCGTCTGGATGTTCGGATTTGACGTCGTCATCTCTGCCGGCGGTGGCATCGGTGTGTCTGGAGCTGTGGCATGCGTGTGCTGGACCGTTGATTTCTCTGCCGAAGAAAGGAAGTGCTGTTGTGTACCTACCTCAAGGTCACTTGGAACATCTCTCTGAGTACCCGCCCATAGCCTATAACCTCCCTCCTCACGTTTTTTGTCGCGTCGTAGACGTGAAGCTACAAGTTAGTATACTTTTCCTATTCTTACTGCAATTTGTTGAAATATTATAATGTATTGTTATATATTTGCTTGTATATTTACTCTTCATACTGTTAATTGTATAAAGTTTTGAATATTTGTTAGTTATCTGGCACTTGATTCCCATTTGTGTGTTCAATTAATTACAGGCGGATGCGGCAAGTGATGAGGTCTATGCACAAGTCTCACTGGTTCCAGACAATCAGGTATAATGCTCTTCAATTGTTTTCTGATTTGAATGTGTTATACTAGCTGCTTGAATTTAGTTCCTTTAGGTAAAGCTTGGTTAATATAGGCATCGTCAGGGTTATTTTGCTCTGTTTTTAGCATTGTTGTTTGATAGCCAAAATTGGAGCTTTATTCAACCAGAATAAAAGAAGAGAATGAGGAGGTAAATATGTGGTTTTTCAGAAATTGATATTATCATTAACTTGGATATTTCAATCTTCTTGAGAGTTAGGTAGAGTTCTTCTTCATAAAGTAAGGATTTATTGAAGATGCTTGTATATGATAGTATTAAACATGAATACAATAATCTGAAACTCTAGTTTTGTTGATTTTTTTTCCATCGAGTTCATTGTAGCAATTTCATTTCATTAGCAGATTGAGCAGAAATGGAGGGATGGAGACATTGATGCAGATACTGAAGAGGAGGAAATAGAAGGTGCTGGAAAATCAACAACACCACACATGTTCTGCAAGACTCTCACTGCTTCAGATACCAGCACTCATGGCGGTTTTTCTGTCCCTCGCCGGGCTGCAGAAGATTGCTTTCCTCCATTGGTAAAGCTTTCTTTAAACTAACTTCATTTGAAAATAGTAGATGAGAGTGTTTAGATGTATTTGTGTGAGTTTATCTGACTTACATGAGCACATTATTATTACTACAGGATTACAGACAACAGAGGCCCTCACAGGAGCTGGTAGCCAAAGATCTACATGGTATCGAGTGGAAATTTCGGCATATCTATCGCGGTACAACAGACTGCTATTCTTTGGATTCTTATTGATTGACAAAATGCTCTGGGTGGCTTTATTGAGCTTCTTCAAATTGCAGGTCAGCCACGAAGGCATCTGCTCACTACAGGATGGAGTGCGTTTGTAAACAAGAAGAAGCTTGTTTCTGGTGACGCTGTGCTTTTCTTAAGGTGCGAACCGCTAAATCTGGAAGGATTTCTGCATTATGTTGTTTTCTTTCTCACGTTCCCATCATTTTTGCAGGACTGCTGATGGAGAACTTAGGCTAGGAGTGAGACGAGCTGCCCAAGCTAAAACATGTTCAAATTATCTAGCTGCCTATAGCCAACTGTTGAATGTCAGTGGTATTGTAGATGTGGTTAATGCCATATCTAGCACAAATGCCTTCAGCATCTGTTATAACCCGAGGTATTCAATATCTGAAAGAAAATCCTAGCAATGTTATTCCAATACTATCTTATTTTAGAAGTTTTATTAATTTTAGGTATGCATGTGATGGCTTCATATCCTGTTCCTTTCAGCTGCTTGTATATACGTATTTACTGAAAATAAACGCTTGATTTTCAAATGCAATTTTTTCCATTATCTTCCGCTTACTTTCTCTGCCATACCATGGAAATTTTCTTTATTTAGTTAGCTAGAGTGCAGTTTGTAAGCAATGCAAATCCAGGTTTTCGTCTGGAGACAAATGATTTGAGTGGAATAGTAAAGTGTAACAATACGGACATGATACTTTTATATGATGAAAGTGCTGTCTTAGCTGTGGGAGCTCATTTACTGCCATTTGAGTACACTTGATTCTGCTTGTTTACAACTTCGGTAATAGTGGCAGTGGCCTAGCTGGCCAATGTACAAAAGATTTCTGTTAACACAACATTAAAGATTGAGCTGTTTATACTTATAAAAATAGACCGAGCTAGTTATTAACTTAATTTTAAGTCCTATGACGGCAACGTAGCATTCCGCGTAAGTAGTAAATTGTTTTGATTTCCGAATAAAGTATGTTGCCGAATAAAGTAGACTTTGAGTTTACACTTCATAAATATTAATTTTCTATCCTAGAATCTACTTGCCCGTCTCTGCCATTTTTCCTTAGTACTTGTGGGAATACACTGGGATGTTGTTGTTGTTACCTGTGTATCTGTATATTTCAGGGGTGGCTCATCAGGCTTCGTTTTACCTTACCACAAATTCTCAAAGACTCTTGCACATCCCTTTTCAGCTGGAATGAGATTTAAGATGCGTGTCGAAACAGAAGATGCAGCTGAACAAAGGTTAGTCGATACTTTTATTCTTCTTTTTGCGCTTTTGACTTGGATCAAAAGGAGTTTGTTTACACTTTCATTGGACAAAACTTGTTATTTCAGTATCTGACGAGCATGTATCAGGTTCACTGGACTTGTTGTAGGAGTCAGCGATGTAGATCCAGTTCGCTGGCCTGGTTCTAAATGGAGGTGCCTATTGGTATGCTACATGTCCTGCACTCCTTGTTTTCTGATAGCATAAAGCTTAACCTATATACTCCACTTAACATATGGTTTATTAATCGAAAATATAGGAGGAAATCTTTTTCCCACTCAGGTTAAATGGTCCTAGGGATGGGGGCCGATACTGCATTTTGCACACCGTTCCTTGGTTTTAACTAAATATGCACCCTTGCATGTGTTACATGTTTCTGCTTAATCACATATCTATAAAGCTTTAAATGGAAACAAGAATATTCAGCATATATGGTTCCTTGTAAGGAAATTTTTTGTATTCTAGGCTCCCTGGGTCAGGAACATTGAGTTGTATAGGAACGATAATATCCCAAGAGGTTGCCTATGCAGTCCATTCTTTCCTTTGATGACATGCTTATCTTTTTTTCTTTTTTTCTTTTTTTGCTGTTTGACTCTAGTATTTTTTTTTTGGTTGTATTTTTGTATTTTTGAGGTGAATCGAGATTACATCATTAATAACACAGCACGGCAGTGTTAAAAGTACGTAAACAGTATGTGAATTGCTCAACCCTAGTCATTTGTCGTGTTAGCACAATAATTTTTCTCTTTATGCCTAAAGATTAAATGAACGGTTGACACCATCTTGGTATATGATCAGTGAATACTTAGATTTATCAAAATTAATGAAAATAATAAATGAAGGGACGATATGTTTATAACTCTAGAATTTGTTGTGATTGTCTGGACACTAGAGTTAAGAATTTATAAGTTAATATATTCACTAGTGTTAGCAATTTCTGCAACTTAATAATTTCCTTACCGTTTGAAGTGTTTGGTGGAATGATTATGAATAAATCATGAAACCTTATTATGACTAACAAAAAAAAATTATTACATATTCGGGCAAACAGTAAACCGCAAGATGTAATATGTTTTGAGAGTTTCTCGATTCTTTTGGTAATATAATTACAACTATAGAAAGTTCGAACTGGGAGTATCTCAACACTGAACATTTACTTGATATTTTTCTTAAATTCAGTTTTTGAAAGTTAGCACTTCAATTTATGGAGGTCCCTCATGTGTATATTTTTTCCCTGGGAATCTAATGTGTCTGTTCTAGCTTTCTTCTTCCTTCTTAAGTTAGCTAATGTACCTCCATCTGTTTTTGACCAAACAAATTGTTGAATCAGTGGACATGTGCACAGTTCTCTTTCTCATGTCCCTTGGAATATTGTTTTGCTGCTGACTAAATGTGTTACAATGGCTATCTCAGGTCAGGTGGGATGATCTTGATGTTTCTCGGCATAATAGGGTTTCACCGTGGGAAATTGAGCCATCTGGTTCAGCTCCTGTATCCAGCAGCTTGGTGATGCCATCTGCGAAGAGAACCAGGGTTGGCTTTCCAATTACAAAGGCCGATTTTCCAATTCCTAGAGGTTTCCCTTTGCCCCCTCACTCCCCCTCCCCCCCCCCTCCCCCCCCTCTCTCTCTCCCTCCCTCTCACGCATGTCCAAACACAACATATATGTATATGGAGTCACACACGCACATCTCATTCCCACTTTATCTAGTAGCATGATGCTTCTCCATTGGTAGTAAGTAGTCTTTACCTTCACGTCTTACAGATGGGATTGCAGTATCAGACTTTGGGGAATCTTCTAGGTTCCAGAAGGTCTTGCAAGGTCAAGAAATTTTGGGGATTAATTCTCCTTATGGCGGTTTTGATGCTCACAGTCCTCGTACAGGGGGGATAAGATGCTTTCCTGGTTTTCCTAGTTCTGGGACATCTAGAATGGGAAACAGCATCAGAACCCTGCTTGGTGACAGTGACAAGTCCCCTGAAAGCATTGGCTTTAGTGATCCTTCTCGATTCAATAAGGTCTTGCAAGGTCAAGAAACTTTTTCAACCCCTCCTTATGGGAGAGGTCATGCTGGTAGCCTAATGCAGGAAAAAAGTAGAACTGGTATTATCGTCGGTATTCAGGTTCCAAGCCACGTAAACAGGTGGTCTGCTCCAAATCAGGGTAATCGCAGTCATTGCAATCCAAGTACTCTTGTCCCGGCATCATCACCACCTTCTGTGCTCAGCTTTCAGCATCCCAGGTCTCCAGCGTCAAAGTTCCAGGCTATGTTCAATCATAAACATGGGAAGCTTGAGACTGCTACCCAGGCTTTGGATATGTCTGAGAGCTGTAGTAGGCATCTCGCATCTGGCTCACATGCCGAGGACATCAGTAGGAAGGGAGACACTCAAGGAATCAGTTCTTTTAGTATCTTAAAGGAGCAAAAGCAAACAGGAATTTCATATCTTTCTCTTGGGACTCAGTCGTCTCAAAACTTAGTTTCCATGTGTAAAACCAGTTGCAGGATCTTTGGATTCCCCTTGACCGAGAATAAACTAAATGCAACTAGAGCAGAGAATCCTGCTGAAGCTGTATATTCACGTGGTCTAGAAACAACATTTCTGCCTTCCACTGATGGAAAGTTGCAGCCAGGGCCACCATTGATGACTAATGTTGTGGGAACAAACTTTACTAGAGTAAATGACCTCTATGCCGCAAGAGATGTGCTTCTTGATATTGCTCTGTAGCAAGTATTTGTTGTGACATCATGAGCATATGTAAACTGAAGGATTTGTGCGCAGTATTATTGATTCTTAGCTTTTAGTTGGCTGATTAGTTTTGGCCAATGGACTCAAGCATGTAGTTGTCAGTAGAATGCTTATCCAGAGATGAGTATTGAGAGTTTTGTTGCAAGGAACACCGTGAAGATTAGTATTGTCGAGGGAAGTATGTGCTTGTAAGTGCCTGCACTACAAATTTTACTATTCTGCTCTCATTGGTTACCATGCATTATTTCGATAAAGTTTCAACAAAGAATAAACTTTAATCCAATGCGGGAGCTATGCATTATTGCTGGTCTAAATTCAAAATAATCAAGGTTACTCTAGGAGAAGTTCCACAAGATCAGCTATCTTCTTAATAAGATTCTGTTCGGATACTTTCTCAAAACTTGGTGCAATGTACCATGACCCAGTGTGGTCCGTGCTAAACCTGTACAATGTCCTTGTTTTTCCCAGCACCCTTTAGCACTCATTTGGTTTTGGTTCCTAATTTGTCTTTTGATAAAATAGTACGATTGTCTTTTTTTACCTGATTGTTAGGTCGCACGTCTGATTTTTTTGTGTTGACCTAATGTCCTCTCACTTTGCAGGAATTTGCATGTATGTTCCTGCGATGTTGATGTACCATGATGTAACAATCGGAAGATGTGTTGCTGCATCATGATGTCTGTATGATAATTGCGCTATGCTTGAAATTACCTAGTGAGCTATCTTTAGGTTTGACATATAGTTGTATTTATATATTTGCCTACTTAGTTTTGCTATGAACTAACTCAAGTTCCTATGAAAGACGAAAGTCTGTTGTAGCTGTTCTTATCTCAGAGCACATTGTAATCTTTAAGGAATTGTGCATAGTTCTGTAATTTAACAGGGCTGAATATGATTTCCTGTTTGTTCTTTGCTGAACTTGTATTCCAGAATTTCTGCTAGTGTGTTATTATTAGCTTTGGATTACCTCTTGTGCTGTCTCTATTTTTGGGAACAAATCAGCGTATTCCTGTTATGCTTAAGAAAATCTTTTACTAAGATTTTGTTGAGTAAATGTTCTTATAAACATGCTCGATCAATTTCAGTTTCAGGAATTCCTCTAATCGTTTCAATTCTGCTCTCCAACATGTCCGTTATGGTAGTTTGTGCATTGCCTTTCTTGCTTGTTAGTCGTAATGACATTCTCACACGGTTTTTCCAGACCTTGTGGCTGGTGCGAGAAGCTATGAATGATGGTTACATGGAGCTGGGGGTATCGTAAACTCATTCATCATCTTTTCGTTTGAGCTTTGTTACACAAAATTTGCGTGCCACAAAAGTATTTGACCACAGACAACCTCTTCTCATCGAACTCTTCTTTCATGGCTGATCAATGATTGAGATATACTAGTCTAAAGGTACGCGCGTTGCGCGTGTACCATATCTCAATGAATAAAACCTTTTTTTTAAATTGCATAATTTGAGTAATAAAAGAAAAGTGTATGTTCATGCAAAAGATGAATATTGATCTTATATAGCCAACTCAATAAAGAAAATTATCGTATAGAAGTCCTTAATCATCCGTTGATATGTTCAACTTAGAATTTGTTCGGTTTCATAAATTTGTCACTTAAATATCACAAGCTATATATTATGCTTCCTTTTCAGTTTTAACAAGAATACACAATCCTTGAAGAATTAAGATAGAACAAATTTAAAGTACGTTTTGAAGTATTAGTTTGAAGCTTGCTTGAGAATCTGACATTACCAACAAAATTTTTTATTAGTCTAAAAACAAATATTTACTATCCAAAAAACTTATTTATCATCGCAATTTAATTTTTTTTTTTTTTTTGTAAAATAAAATAACTCTCTATCGTGGCTTCACAAAGATAACTATTGTCACCTAATTAATAAAACACAAACTTATTTAAAGAAGAAGGAAAAAATGAAGGGTTGAAAGAGATGCTCAAAGTGAAATAAACAAATATGTTGATTTTTCTATCTTAATAATTTCCTTGAAATACAGATCAATTTATAGTAGGTTTGATTTAATATAATTTAAAGAGAATACTTTACTATATATTTTAATTATTATCACGGGTTTCATTAAGCAACCTCCACTTCCAACCAAGAGGTTGTGAGATCGAGTCTCCCCAAGAGCAAGGTGAGAAGTTCTTGGAGGGAAGGATGCCGATGGTCTATTTGGAAACAACCTCTCTACCCCAGGGTAGGGGTAAGGTCTGCGTACACACTACCCTCCCCAGACCCCACTAAGTGGGATTATACTAGGTTGTTGTTGTTGTTGTTGTTAAATCGGTATCATGATCACCAATGTAATGTGCTTTTCTAACTTGAGTATAACTATTAATTTCTGCATAATTAGGAATACAATACTCTAATTTAACTGCATAGATGACATAAAACTAATGAGTATGTGGTAAATTTTATATATTTACTGGTTACAATGATATTAAATTTAACTAATAAATTTATTGATGATCTAATTAAGTTAGTTAAAAACGATTGAAATTAACAATAACAAAGTAAGAAAAGGAAAAAGACAAACTTGGAAATCTCACTACAATGCGTTTAGCAAGTTAAAGTTACCAACGAGGAATAATGCTCTTCCATCTTAAAGTTCTAAATATTAGGACTTTTTACCTAGTTCAAATAAGGAATGAGTAAATTTTTTTTTATTGTTTTTGAAGTCCTAATATATTAGGAGAATAATTAAATGACAATGTTGTCCTATGTGAACTCTACTTTTTAAGAGTAAAAAAGGCGAACGACATTTTGCTAAGGGCCTTCGTGCTTTTAATATAGTACTAGTCTTAGGGTACGCGCTTTGCGCGTGTACCTATAACAATAAATATATAATTTACGTAAATATTATTAAATAATGTGTTTGAGTTAAATATTAAAAAAATATAAGTTCCTACAATTAATGAATGTTAATCTCATTAAACTAGCTCAAAAAAACAAAGAAATCGTACTCCACATAAGTTTTTATATACCTTATTATGATTGAGGAGGGAAATATCTTCTAAAAATTATTGTTATCTTTATTACCAAATACTATAAACAAATAACACATAAAAAAGAAATTTTACCATAATTATTTAAAGATAACAAAACAAATTAAGATTTTGAATCTTTTGATCTTTTAGAAATTTGTGAGTGATGAGGTAGGACTATAACTCCTAGAAAAATATTGATAAATAACAATATAAAGTTTTAAATAACTAATATTGAATTATAAAAAACAATGTAATACTATACTAAAAATTATAGAAAGCTATTATTTAAAGAAAGATAATATTAATAACTTCTTTTTAATAGTTTTGTCTTATGTTACATCCTTAATGCTTCAAACTTAGCATTTTTAGCATTTTAACTTTTAATACCATATTATAATAAATTTTTGCTCTACTTTTTTTATTTCTTTCATGGCTGGTGCTCTTTTTGTGAATAAATTTTTGTATCTTAAGAATGTTATCAACTTGATAAATAATTTTACTTACCTAATGATTTTGAAAAAAAATGAATTAGTTTTTTTTACTAATTTATTAATTCAAAGACTTAGTTAGTTGTTGAAATTTCATGCTTTTGTGATCATATAAAAGAAACAAATTATTTTGTACTTTTTTCCCTACTCGAATAATATATTATTCGTGTAATGTTTAAAAACTACATTTAATAATTAAAATATATATTTAGTTAGGTACAAAATCTCTTACTTTTAATAGTACATCTCGTTAGAATTGTAAGTTCCCCACTAAGAAGCATGAATGTGAACATATTTCCATTGAAATTCGTCAGATATACAAGGAAAAGAAAATGTTAATATTACTCCTATTTCCCAAAATAATATCTACGTTAAAGACCTTAATACAATAAATTTTGTCCATGGTTGAAAATAAACTTACCTTTTACTTTTTATATTCTCTTCTTTTTTCATAATATATTTTATCCTTATTTAGTTGATTTCGAACTGTTGAAGAAGTTGATCATGATAAGAATAAGCTTGAACGAGATAAGGATAGTTAGATTGCATTGTAGAGTTTGTACTTAATTCAATGTAATAGTCATATGTGTAGTAGAACTCTAAGTCATTTGTAGTAGTTATCATTTAGCATACTTAGCCTAGTTTTTAGTTGTTTTGTGACTTAATTCATTCACTTATGGCTTTGTAATACATGTGAAAACACACGATTCTTCAATACTATTTTCTCTCAATCTTGTGATTTTTTACATGGTATCAGAGCACACTGAAGCTATGCTGCCCACACGATCAAACATGGCCATAACAACACCCTCAACCTCTTTGTGTCTATCACCTGCTTCCCTGCATCATCTGATTGCCTCTTGTCCAGTTAAGTTGAAACCATCAAACTATTTGATCTGGAGGACACAAATACTCCAGTTGATTCAGGTAATGAAGGTGACAAACCTGATCAAGGAAGGCAGTTCATCTACTTCTGATGGTGCTAACAAGACTGTCGACAGAGGTGATGACAACACTGACTGGGAGGAAAAAGATGTGCTCCTGTGATACAAGTTAAGGAATAAAGCAGTAGAAGAAGAAGCAGCTTAGCAGTTAAAGCTGTAACAGAAATCTGAGTTGGCAACTGATGTGGCAAAGTTAGTTTCAGCAGTTATAGTTAGTTAGAGTTAGTTTACAAGTTGTGATTCTAGAATCTTCAGCTGAGCATATATAGTTGAATGAATTGTAATTGAGGGATACTTTTGGAAGTTAATACACTCTATTCTCCCTAAATTCTTCTCTTTTGAGCTATATTCTCGCATATGCTTGACATAGCCATCACCTTCGTCGAGCTTCAGCTCCTAGATTGACTATTTTCCCCTGCTTTCTGCTACATTGTATCATTTGGTATCAGAGCTTCACGTCCTTGGCAGCTCCAGTCATGACGCGCAACAAAAATTCAGAGAAGTCTGTTGAAGAATTGGAAGACAAACTGACGGCCATTAACGATCAATTGCAAAAGTTGATAGATGGAATGATGATTATAAACGAGCATAATGTACAAACTGACAAGGAATTATTGGAATTGAAAGAGTATATGGGAGCTATGAATCAGAAAGGGAAGGAAAATGAACAAGTTAGAGGAGAATCTTCTAATGGTCGAGCTGGTTCAATGGAGATTCAACAAGAATGAAGGATCAGAGATGTTCATCAAGGTGTAACTATTAATGGTAACTTTTTTACTCGATACTCTAAACTTGAATTTCCTCAATTTTCTGGTCATGATTTGAAGAATTGGTTCTATAAAGTCGATCAGTTTTTCTCCATGGATGAGGTAGCATTTGATCAGAGGGTTAAGGTAGCTTCTATTCATTTTGATGGAGAAGCTATTGCTTGGCATAGGTCATATGTGAAGTCTAGGAATTCAGTGTTAGAACCTACTTGGACTGAATATGTACTGACTTTAAATGAACGGTTTGGGGAAGGATTTGAAGATCATATGGAAACTTTAAAAAATCTGCAACAAATTGGCAGTGTTAAGGACTATCAAGCAGAATTTGATAGGTTGTTGACTGGGGTTAATTTGTCTAATGAAAATGCAATTAGTTATTTTTTAGGTGGCCTTAAACCAGAATTGAATAAATCTGTGAGAATTCAATCACCTAGAACATTGCTACAGGCCTACAGAATTGCAAGATTACAAGAGGAGGTGTTTGAGGCTCAAGCTCAGTCTTGGGGTCTCAAGCCTGTTATGAGAACCAACACTGGCATATTACCTACCCCTAATCACAATAAACTCCAGTATAACCAAAAGAACCTATTACCAAACTCCACTAACAAAAAGCCTTTTGAACCTAACGTTACTAAGAACACTAGAATTCCTGGTAAGAGGTTGAGCACAACTGAAATGGATGAGAGGAGGTCGAAGGAATTATGTTTTTTCTATGATGATAAGTATGTACTAGGCCACAAGTGTAAGGGTAACAAACAACTATATTTA